TGACTGTGCCATCACACACCGGCCTGAGTGACAGAATGAGATACCAACTCAAAAAAAAAAATTAGAAAACAAAGTTTGGAGGGATTATAGCAGTTAAAGAGTCATAGGAGCTGGGCGGGGTGGCTCACGCCTGTTATCCCAGCACTTTGACAGGCAGAGGTGAGAGGATTGCCTGAGCCCAGGGGTTTGACACCAGACTGGGCAACTTGGTGAGACGACACTTCGTCTCTACAATAAATAAGAAAATCAGCCAGGCGTGGTGGCGCGTGCCTATGGTTCCAGCTACCTGGAAGGCTGAGGCAGAAGGATCGCCTGACCAGCAGTTCAAGGCTGTGGTGGCCATGAACCTATCACTGCACTCCAGCCCAGGTGACAGAGTGAGCCTCCGACTCAAAAAAAAATAAATAAATAGATTCAGAGGGAAAAAATCCATGAAAAGAGAAGGCCTGGGAGGAAAAGCCCCAGTTTTGTATATAATCTCTGTCTAAATCTCTATCTAACCTCTGAATCAGGTATGTGTGAAGCAGGGTTCAAGCAGCCAGTTAAATGTAAAAGACTGAACTGAGATTTCAGATATTGCCAAGTGTGTGCAGGAGAGATAGAGTTTGGAGTTCAAGTCCAGCTTGTTTTTTTAAAAAAGACTCTTTAAAGAAATATAACAGAATTCAGGCTTTCTACAACTGTCAATCATAATTCCAGGAAATAATCCCAAATTACTGGAGACATGAAGAGACGTGAAAACATAATCCATAATGGAGAGAAAAGGCAATCAATGGAAACCAACTCCAAGATGATCCAAATAATGGATTTAGCAGACAAGGAATTTGAAAGCTATTTTAACTATGCTCAAGGAAATTAAGAAAAACATGCACTTAACAATAGAACACATAAATAAGACATCTCAGCAGAGAATAAAAACAATTTTAGCTAGGCGTGGAGGCTCACACCTGTAATTCCAGCACTTTGGGAGGCGGAGGCAAGAGGATTGCTTGAGCCCAGGGGTTCAAGACTAGCCTGGGCAATTGGCAAGACTTCATCTCTAAATAAATCAAAAAAATTAGCTGGGCAGGTGGCACATGCCTGTGGTTCTAGCTACTAGGAAGGCTGAGGCAGAAGGCAGAAGGCAGAGGCACCTGAGCAGAAGGCAGAGGCAGAAGGCTGAGGCACCTGAGGCCCACAGGTCGAGGTGACTGTGACTGTGAGTACTGCAACCTGGGTGACAGAGTGAGATTCTGACATAAATAAATAAATAAATAAATACATAAATAAATAAATAATACATTCTAGAATTTCCATTTGATCCCTATTAAAAAAATTTTTTTTGGTAAGGTCAAAGTCTCGCCAAGTTGCCCTGGCTGGTGTCGAACCCCTAGGCTCAGGAAATCTTCTCACCTCTGACTCTCAAAATGCTGAGATTACAGGTGTGAGGCATTGCGCCTGGCTAGAAATTCTAGAATTTAAAAATACAGTCTCTCATCTTGAAAATTCACTGGATGAGCTTAACAGAAGGTTGGAAAGGAGGAAAAAAGAATCAATTAAACCAAAGATAGAGCAATAGTTATTCAGTCTGAAGAACAAAAGTGTAGGGAGGTGGAGAACTGTGGGGAGCGAATGAGCGCTGTCCGGACAGCAGGCCTTGACCAAGGCAGGGCCCCAAGCGAAGGCAAATTCTCACTTGATAGCTCTGCATCCTAGCCAAAGGCAGGGGATGCAGCCTGCTACACGAAACGGCGTCTCAGATGCCCACACATCCGGGTGCACATAGTACAGATAAAGCCTTAGCTACAGCAAGATAACCGCAGAACAGCTTGCCATTTAGGTAGCAAAAAAATTCCACTATAGCTCCCTCACAGACCTTGAAGTCCTTCTAGCTTTCTTTGTGCTTGATTATAAAATAAACATGCTGAGTTTGGGGGCCACTTCTCCTCCATCAGAGGAAAGTGTCCCACCTGTCCCCAACTTTTCTTTTTGTCTTTGTGTCTGTGTCTTTCTTAATCTCTTGCCGCTCGGGACCCTCAAGGCAGCCGCGCAGGCCATGGCAGAGAATAGAAAAGAGATAAGAGAGAATAGATCTGCAGTGACCTATGTGACATAATCAAGAGGTCTAATATGTACGTGATTGGAGTCCAAGGAGGAGAAAAATAAAACAGCAAAGAGAAAATCTTTGAAGACATAATAATCCACACCTTGCGCCTATGCATAAATGAACTCAAAATAGACCATAAACTTAAATGTAAATATTTTTTTTTTAGTCGGAGTCTCTGTCCCTCAGGCTGGAGTGCAGTGCAGTGGCACAATCACACTACCGCAGGCTCTACCTGCTGAGCTCAAGCAATCCTTTCGCCTCAGCCTTCCAAGTAACTGGAACTACAGGCGTGTACCACCATACCTCGCTAGTTTTTTGATTTATTGTAGCTAGGAGTGCAGGCACACACCATCACACTTGGCTAATTTATGTTTATTTTATTTTTCATTTTATTTTTTTGAGTGGGAGTCTCATTCTGTCGCCCAGGCTAGAGTGCAGTGGCACGCTCATGGTCACCAAAGCCTCAACCTGCTGGGCTCAGGTGATCCCCCGCCTCAGCCTTCCAAGGAGCTGGAACTACAGGAGCATGCCACCACACCCAGCTAATTTTTTAAATTATTGTAGAAATGAGGTCTTGCCAAGTTGCCAAGTCTGGTCTCGAACCCTTGGGTTTAGGCAATCCTCTCGCCTCCACCTCCCAAAATGCTGGGATTACAGGCATAAGCCATCCCATCCAGCTTTTTATTTTGTAGAAACAAGTTTTTGCTATGTTGCCCAGCTTAAGCTATACTATTTTCGCAGTAAATCCATCTCTATCTGTGGGTCTGCCTGAGTGTGAATAATTCATCTACGGGGGAGAATTTTCATTTTAACTCTTACAATAAAAAGAACAGATACTTTTAAAGATGAAAATAATAGTACATAATGACAAGTTCTAGAAAAGAATCGTGTTAAATGCTCAACCTGGCAATGCATATTCTTCTGTATTTTTTAATTTTCAGAAAGACATGTTCTAGTTTTAAAAAAGAAATCAAGGATAAATAAAATTTATTAAAAACATACAAATCAGTTATAATTTTATCCACCAGAGAAGATTACTACAACTAAGAGCCAAATGTGTGTGTGTGTGGGGGTTTTTTTTTCTTTTTTTCCCCGTCTCCTTAGTGATTGGAACAATGCCTAGAACATTTGCTGTTAAATGATTAGGAATAGTTTTGAAAAAAAATGCAACATGTAGCGGTAAGGGTTAGTATAGACTAGGCAAAGGAGACACCATGAGCAAAGGTATAAAAAATTCAGAACTAATGGGCCACATGCCAGAAACATGGGTTTGTGTTTGGCAGGGATTAAAATCTGGCAGCTCCTAGGCTAACATCTTCAGTTTGTCTTATCAGCATTAAAATACACGTTAGTAAGATGCCAACTTCTAAAAATAGAGACAAATTTACAGAAAAATTCAAATCTGTAGTTTCTTTCGACAAAACAGAAAGCTCTGGAAACACTGGGATCCCATTCTACGGAAAAAAACTAGAGCTAAGTAAAGGCTATTCGTCCTAAAGCTCATCTGTTCACTGAAGTCTCCTGCAGGCTCAACTCATTTAGTTTCCCTTCTAGGCCCTATAGGCATTAGAGTTTGCAACCGCTGGTAGAGCCTGATATGGAAGGGCAGGTTGGGGTCAGAGATAAAAGGTTCTGTGTATCCAGATAGGGAGTTTGTACATAGTTCAGTGGGCAAGAAAGGTTTTAATAGCATATGTTCAGTTACTACTGCTGTGTAACAAACCACCCCAAAACTTAATGGTTTAAAACAACATACAATTTATTTAGCTCATGATTTTGTGAATAGGCAACTTGGGCTGGGCTCAACTGGGTGCTTCTTCTGGTTTTCACTGGGCTCACTCATGTAGCATAGATCAGCTGTTAGGTTGTCTGGTCTAGTATGATTTCAGCTGGGAAAGCTTGTTTCTACTCCATGTGATCTCTTGTCTGCCGGCATGCTTTTTCGTGGCTAGGTAGGGTTCCAAGAGAGGGAGTAGATATTTATAACGTCTCTTGAAGCCTGTGCTTGAAACTGGCACACCGTTACTTCTTCCACATTCTATTGACCAAATCAAGTCACAATGCCAGCCCAGATGCAAATGGTGGGGAAACAGACTCCACTTCTTTTTTTTCCGATGTTATTTTATTATAGAGATGTGGGGTACAAGTAAGGGTTAACTACACGAATAGGCTGCATGCAGGTAAAGTTTGGCCTTCCAATTGGTCCTCACTTCCCCTGGTTCAGAACCAGGTACTCTGTGTTGTTATGTGCCGTGCCCCTCCTCCACCACCCTTGTGGTGCCCAGTAACTACCACTCCCTCCCTTGTACTAGTGTGACTAGTGTTCAGGGCCCACCTATGAATGAGAACATGCAGTATTCAGTTCTTTGCTTCTGTGATAGATCACTAAGGATGATGGTCTCCAACTCCATCCAGTTTGTAGTGCAGTGGCACACTCACGGTCACCCCAGCATTGATCTGCCGGGCTCTGGAGATCCTTCCGCCGCAACCTTCCAAGTAGCCGGAACTACAGATGCACACTACCATACCTAGCTATTTTGTATTTTATTGTCTCACCAAGTTCCTGGACTAGTCTTGGATCCACAGGCTCAGGCAATCTACTCACCTCGGCCTCCCAAAGTGCTGGGATTACAGGTTGAGTCACTTAGCCCGGCCTGGATTCTACTTCTTGATGGGAGGAGCTGTGAATTTACATTGCCAAGAGGTGTGGACATAGAGATACACTTGTGCAAGCCATCTATCAAAGTCACTATCAGAGGTGTATATTTGGAAATATCACTTGGAATGGGATTGTGTTCTGTATGACTGGAGTTATTTTCTATTTGTAATAGAGAAATGCTGCCTCTCCACCCCCAAATAACTCAATGACAAAGAATATGAGAGAGAGATGTCCAGTTTGTATCTCTCCCAGCTTCTAGTTCAGGCACTCTTGGTTTTCATTCTGGTTGCCAGTAAAGACAGACAGTTTCTTTAAGATTTCTGTGGATGAATGAACAGAAAGTTAGACAAGAGCAAGGAGCTGAGAGCCAAACTAGAAACATCAAGACGTTTCCACACCACACAATAGTGTAGAAACCGCATAACCCACTGGTCTGGCAGTACCTAAACCACCATATGCACTCATGCCTTTGTGATATGAAGTTCTTTTACTCAATCAACTTTTAAAACACAAATACAAGCCGGGCTCGGTGGCTCAGCCTGTAATCCTGTGCTTTGGGAGGCTGAGGTGAGTGGATTGCCTGAGCCCACGGGCTCGAGACCTGCCTGGGCAACTTGGCAAGACCTCACCTCTACAATAAATAAAAAATTAGCCGGCTGTGGTAGCGCGCGCCTGTAGTTCCAGCTACTTGGAAGGCTGAGGTGGAAGGATCGCCGCAGCCCAGCAGGTCGAGGCTGCGGTGACCGGGAGCAGCCACTGCACTCCAGTCTGGGCGACAGAGTGAGTCTCCAACTCAAAATAAACAAACAAACAAAAAAACACAAATACACCTCAGGAGAGATAAACTCACCACTTTGTGTTAATTAGTCCTGGGTTCTAAGTAAGACTGGCAGAGGAAAAAAGAAGACAAAGAAGAGTTTTGAAGGAGAGGAAGTCACAATATAAGTCATTATCAGCTTCTTATTCACCCCAAATACCAAATCTTCAGGAAGCATTAGCAAATCTGCTCTTCTGCTCTGCAGTGCCAAAGAGAAGGTTTCAGATGAAAACTAGACCATGACTTTGATGTTTCACTCTGAAAGGTAGGGAAATGGGTGAAGGGAGGGGAGAGATGGATAAGACACCCTCTCAGGTACTGTGAGAGTGTTTTCCAAGGGGCCACCTGTGAGAAGGCCTTGAAGAACAGTCCTCATGCCAGAGACTTCTGTAAGTAGGAACAATGTCCTGAGTTTGGATGCTTGCCCTTTTAGTTTCTTTTTCAAGGCACTTCATCTTTTTTTTATTTTTTATTTTTATTGTTTGAGATGGAGTCTCACTCTGTTGCCCAGGCTAGAGAGCAGTGGCATGCTCACGGCCACTGCAGCCTTGACCTGCTGGGCTCAGGCAATCCTTCCACCTCAGCCTTCCAGGTAGCTGGAACTACAAGTATGCACCACCATGCCCAGCTAATTTTTAAATTTATTATAGAGATGAGGTTTTGCCAAGTTGCCCAGGCTGGTCTCGAACTCATGGGCTCAGGCAATTCTCTCACCTTGGCCTCCCAAAGTGCTGGGATGTTTTTTTTTTTTTTGAGTTGGAGTCTCACTCTGTCACCCAGACTGGAGTGCAGTGGCACGTTGCCGGCCACCGCAGCCTCGACCTGCTGGGCTCTGGCGATCCTTCCCCCTCAGCCTTCCGAGTAGCTGGAATTACAGGCGCGCTACCACACCTGGCTAATTTAAAAAAAAAAATTTATTGTAGAGATGAGGTCTCGCCAACTTGCCTAGGCGGGTCTCGAACCCGTGGGCTCAGGTAATCCACTCACCTCAGCCTCCCAAGGCACGGGATTACAGGCTGAGCCACCAAGCCCGGCTAGGTGCTGGGATTATAGGCATGAGCCACCACACTCGGACTGGCACTTGATCTTTAATAATCAGTGTCCTCCACCCCCATGTCTATAACTTAAAAAACTCTTGCATGTGTGGCCCCGGAGATGTACACAACAATGTTTAAAGGGGAAATATTTTTTTAAAAGAATTAAATACTGAAGCCACTAAAATGTCCATTCCAGGCTGGGCGCAGCAGTTCAATCCCAGCACTTTGGGAGGCCGAGATAGGGGGATTGCTTGAGTCCATGAGTTTGAGACCAGCCTGGGCAACATAGCAAGACCTTGTCTCTATGAAAAAATTAAAAAAAATTAGCTGGGCGTGGTGGCATGGGCCAGTAGTCCCAGAAACGTGGGAGGCTAAGGAAGGAGCACTGCTTGAGCCCAGGAACTCAAGGCTGTGGTGAACCATGATTATGCCACTGCACTCCAGCCTGGATAACAGATACCCTGACTCAAAACAACAACAAAAAAAACACTCATCCCACAGTGGAATAGCTAAGTAAAGTACATGGTTACCTAATGAACTATTAGGAAGCAGGAAAAATGAGTGAATTGAAACTACCACATTAACATTGATGGATTTCAAGTCACAATGTTAAGAAAATAAAGCATGTCATGGCAGAATATAGTATGGTACAATTTATATAAAGTCCCTATACATGAGACACCAAATAATATAGTGCATCTAGGTTGTAAAACTATAAATACATATATACATAAGTGTGTACTACAATAGTTAGGATGGTATTACCTCTGGAAGAAAGAGGAATATGAAAAGCAAGGGTGGCTGGGTGTGGTAGCTCATGCCTATAATCCCAGCACTTCGGGAGGCCAAGGTGAGAGGACTGCTTGAGCCCAGGGGCTTGAGACCAGCCTGGGCAACTTGGCAAGACCTCATCTTTACAAAAAAAAAAAAAAACAAAAACCAGGTGTGGTAGCACACGCCTGTAGTCCCAGCTACTTAGAAGACTGAAATAGAAGGATCGCCCGAGTTTTTTGAGTTGGAGTTTCACTCTTTTGCCCAGGCTGGAGTACAGTGGCACGCTCATAGCCACCACAACCTGAACCTGCTGGGCTCAGGTGATCCTTCTGCCTCAGCCTTCCAAGTAGCTGGAACTACAGGTGTGCGCTACCATGCCCGGCTTATTTTTTGATTTATTGTAGAGACAAGGTCTCACCAAGTTGCCCAGGCTAGTCTCGAACCCCTGGGCTCAGGTAATCCTCTCACCTCAGCCTACCAAAGTGCTGGGATTACAGGCTGAGCCACCGCACCTGGCCAGTGTTCTATTTCTTAACGAAGGGGTAGATATGTGATTTTTTTTTAGTTTGGTATTTTAACTGCACATATATATTTTATACACTACCATTATGATACATATCATGATAAAGATAAGAAAAAATAATTTTGTGTCTTTTTTTTTTTTAATGTCAGAGTCTCACAGTCACCCAGGTTGGAGTGCAGTGGTACGCTCACAGCCACTGCAGCCTCGACCTGCTGGGCTCCGGCGACCCCTCCGCCTCAGCCTTCCAAGTAGCTGGAATTATAGGCACGTGCTACCACACCCAGTTAATTTTTTTTTTTTTTTTTTTATCGTAGAGATGAGATCTCGCCAACTTGCCCAGGCGGGTCTCGAACCCGCGGGCTCAGGCAATCCACTCACCTCAGCTTCCCAAAGTGCGGGATTACAGGCTGAGTCACTGAGCCCAGCTTTTTTTTTTTTAACTGTAGAGATGTGTTCTCGCCAAGTTGCCCAGGCTGATCTTGAATCCCTGGGCTCAGGCAATCCTCTTGCCTCCGCCTCCCAAAGTGCCGGGATTACAGGCATGAGCTACTGTGGCCAGCTCATTTTGTGTCTTTGAACTTTGCAGCAACATCAGTAGAAACACTTCCCCAATCCAGGGGTGTTGCATGTGAACTCCTCTCTCTCTGTGTTGCCTGGCCTTTGTGGGAAGTCTGGGAGATTTGGAATTAGAGTAGGAGAAGAAGGTGCTCCCAGTAAGGGAGACAGTGCAAGGAAGCCATGGAGAAGCAGCTGATGCTATGTCAGAGAAAAGTGTGTACATCAAAAAAAAAATCCCAAGTATGTTGACAGAAGGAAGACAGGGAGGAAGGGAGGGAAAGAAGGAGAAAGATAGAAAGACAAAAAGAGGAAGGAGATAGAAAGACAAAAAGAAGCAAGATTGAGTCCAGTGCAGTGGCACATACCTGCTGTCCTAGCTCCTTGATTTTTTTGTTGGTTTGCTTTTATGTGTGTGGGTTGGGTCTCTGTTGCCCAGGTTGAATGAAGTGCAGTGGCATCATTATGACTACCACAGCTTCAACTTGCTGGGCTCAGGCGATCCTTCCACCTCAGCCTTCCAAGTATCTGGGACTACAGGTGTGCACTACCCCACCTGGTTAACATCTTTATTTATTGTAGAGATGAGATCTCGCCATGTTGCCCTGGCTGGTCTTGAACTCCTGGGCTCAAGCAATCTTCTCTTCCTAGCCTCCCAAAGTGCTGGGATTACAGGTGTGAGCCACTGTACCCGTGTCCCCAACTACTTGGGAGACTGAGGTGGGAGGCTTACTTAAGCCCAGGAGTCCAAGGCCATAATCATGCCTGTGAATCGTCATTGCATTCCAGCCTGGACAACACAGTGACACCTTGGCTCTAAAAAAAAAAAAACCAAAACAAAATAGATACAGACAAAAAGGAAGGAAGGAAATGAGACAGAGCAGGGATAGGGCTCCACCTCCCTCACATACTTTAACCACCAGACTTTGCAACAATACTTCAGTTAGAACCATCCTACAGACATTACCTTGAAAAACCCATTAAGATAAACAATGTTTCACCATAAATCTTGCTTGGGAGGATAGCTTCCTGCCCACATGTGTACAAGGACCAGACAGTTTCCAACTTGCTTCATTATATTTCCTCTCTAGGTGGGGCTTATCTGCCATATTTTATACATGTGACTTACAAAGAAGTATGTATCTACACTAGCTTATGCATTAGAACCCCTCCCTAATCATGTTAACGTGCCTTTCCTTTGATGTTACACCCCTTCCCTTATCTAATAAAAGGCCCCAGCCAGCCCTCAGCCCTGAGCTGTCTCCCAGCAAAGCCTTGTCTGGGAAATCTGTTTGGCCTCCTGTCAATTTCTATTACGTGACAGCCTATGAACTTGCACTTGGTAACACAAATAGGCTGAAGAAAGGAAGGAAAGAGGAAAAGAAATAGACTGGAGGAATGTAATATGACTTTCCAAACCACTTTAGACTAAACAATGCCCTTAGGGTAGTTGCAGAAGCCCTGCACTATAGTGAGTCCCTTACATACAAACCTTCAAGTTGCAAACTTTCAAAGATGCAAACATGCATTTACATGCCCAATCACATAAGTTAGTTCACATGTGTGGGATACATTGTCATGTGTGTGCATCCTCTACAAGAGGTTGTGCTTTTCTGTACTTTAGTGTATAGTACTGTATAGACTATAGTAGTACAGTATCTTTATTTCAAGCCCAGGTTGTCTGGAAGCAAGTATAAAAGCAGTAGTGATGTAGCTGGTACTGTATAGCCAATTGTGTTAGTTGGGTAGCTAGGCTAACTTTGTTGGACTTACAGACAAACTGGACTTATGAACGCTCTCTTGGAAAGAACTCGTTCGTATGTAGCACATTTATTGTATTGACATGTGGGCCAGGTAATTCTTTGCTGTGTAGGGCTGTCCTGTGTACTGTAGGATGTTGAGTTGCATCCTTGGCCTTTATTTACTAGAGTAGCACACCCCATTCTATGTTCTTGGATCTGTGACAACCAAAAATGTCTTCAGACATTGCTAAATGTCCCCCGAAGGGTAAAATCACTCACGGTTGTAGACTCCTGCCTAGAAGCTTGTGAAAAAGACATCTTTTACAAGTGTGAAATAGGTTTGTAGCTCATGCATTTTACACTAGAAAGAAGCCTACCATCCACGGAGGGCCGCGCAGAGGGCTCATAGGCCCGGCAGTCATCAATGATCTCCTGCAGCTCTGGAGGGCAGTCATCACCCAGTGGCTCTTGCTGCCGGTCCACAGCCACCAGCTGGTGAATATTCTTAGAATTATAGCCTGGCATGGAAATAAGAGGATAGAAACCTTAACTATTACTTTGGGCCAGGTATGGTGGCTCATGCATGTACTCCCAGAACTTTGGGAAACTGAAGCAAAGGGATTGCTTGAGCTCAGGAGTTTGAGACTAGCCTAGGCAACATAGTCAGACCTCATCTCTACAAAAATAAAAAAATTAGCTGGGCATGGTGGTGCACACCTGAAATCCCAGCTACTTAGGAGGCTGAGGCAGAAGGATGGCCTGAGTCCAGGAGGCCGAGGCTATGGTGAGCCATGATTGTGCCACACTGTCCTCCAGCCTGAGCAACAGAGTAAGACTCTGACCCCCCCCAAAACAATTACTCTGTACTTGCACATTTCTCTGGATGCTGATATCTGGCATCAGAACTAGGAACTTTGAGTATGGAAACAACAAGCGCTTCCAGTGATTCCACTAAACCGCCCAGGCACTTCCCATATTGGTGAACAATGCTCCCGGGACAGCACTAATGGGGAATTTCTAGTCTGTTGGAAGGGGACCCAATCCGAGCATCAGCTGAACCAGCCTTCACATTCTTTACCTTTAAACGGGATCTTCCCAGTGGCAATTTCCCAGAGGACAATTCCAAAGCTAAAATAAAACCAAGAAACTGAGCAACTATAATAAGTTTCCCTCTTCCCATTGCCAGAACACTCAGTGAATTTTCTGATTACCACCCAATTCCTCTCAGCAAAGTTGAGAAGATGGTCCTTGGAGAAGGAGTTTAACTTCAACTTTCCTGTCCTGCTCATCTGAGTTATAGAATCTGCACAAGAACATGAACATACCTGTATATTTCAGCTTTTATGTCATATTTATGAAACACATTTTCCAGTCCCTGAGGGGAGATATATGCTGAAGAGTTGACATTCTTTGCCTTTTTTTGTTTAATCTCCCGATTGATGGATGTCTGTGTTTTGCTCAACTCAAATCCTGCAAGCTAGATAGAGAGGTGGTTTACAAAACAGAAAGAAACAGCAAGGTCTTGGGCAGAGGGGTAGAGGGCAGGGGGTTGGTGCTACACACAATTGTCAAGGAATTGTCTTTTACCTTAGAGATTTATTTCCTATGGTGTCTTCTATGTGACCACTCTATTGGTTAATATTAGGGGTTCAACTTATCATAGTGCAGTGACCAAGAGAAACACAAAGAAATTTCTCCTCTACAAAACGGAGTGATAGCAGTAAGAATTATTTGAGATAACGGTTATAAAGTACCTGTATGACCTGCTACATTGCAGATGTTACTAGTATGACTATATTTGATATAGTGGTTTCTCAGTCAAGGACTGAACTTCACTCAGTAGGGGTGGAGAAGGGTACACAGAACCACCACATGGCTTGCTTTCTCCTAGAAGTAGATGAGAAAATGACATAGGGGCATCTTCCTCTGTTCTACCTGACCCTAGTGGGTGGCCATCCTGTTCCTTTAGATTTGACATGCATGATCCTTGCCAATCCTGCATGGTCATGCAGTATTTTTTTTTTTTTTTTTTTGAGTTGGAGTCTCACTTTGTCACCCAGGCTGGAGTGCAGTGGCATACTCATGGCCACCGCAACTTCAACCTACTGGGCTCAGATGATCCTTTCACCTCAGCCTTCCAAGTAGTTGGAACTATAGGCATACACTGCCTGCCCAGCTAATTTTTTAATTTATTGTAGAGATGAGGTCTTGCCAAGTTGCCCAGGCTGGTCTCGAACCCTGGGCTCAGGAGTCTTCTGATCTCAGCTTTTCAAAATGCTGGGATTACAGTGTGATCCACAGCGTGTGCCCAGCAGTCATGAAGTTTTTTGTTTGTTTGTTTGTTTTTGCATCAGATTCTCACTCTGTCTCCCAGACTGGAGTGCAGTGGCATGCTCACAACCACCGCAGCTTCGACTTGCTGAGCTCAGATGATTCCTCCACCTCAGCCTTCCAAATAGCTGAAACTACAGGCACATGCCACTAAGCCTGGCTAATTTTTTAAAAAAATTATTGTGGAGATGAGGTCTTGCCAAGTTCCCAGGCTAGTCTTGAACCCGTGGGCTCAGGCAAGCCTCTCACCTCGGCCTCCCAAAGTGCTGGAATTTTAGGTGTGAGCCACCACACCCAGCCTATGCAGTATTCTTAAAGAAGCCATAGGCTCGCTGCAGTGCCTCATGACTGTAATACCAGTGCTTTGGGAGGCCAAGATGGGAGGATTGACTGAGACCAGGAGTTTGAGACAGCATGGGCAATATAGCAAGACCTTATCTCTTAAAAATAAAACAAAAATAAAATTAGCCAGGCATGGTGGCATGTGCCTGTAGTCCCAGTTATTCGGGAGGGTGAAGCAGAAAGATCGCTTGAGCCCAGGAGTTTGAGTCTGCAGTGACCTATGATTTCACCTCTTTACTCCATCCTGGGTAACAGAGTGAGACCTTGTCTTTAAAAAAAAAAGGAGAAGAAGAAGAACAAGCCATAGTACAATCAGTGAGAATATGTATGTTCTTTCTCCATATATACTTGCCATTAGCACCATCAGTGTGCAGAAGGCTCCAGCCCCAAACTCAGCCAGGTATTCAATTCAGCGTTAGAAAAAGACACTTAGATGGTTCATCCCCCTTTCTCCATTCATCCTCTTACATATTACTGAGCACTGCCATTCTCTGACATCTAGCGCCATACCAGATATCAGGGATGACAGGTGCAACAGAATATGTTACAGCACATGAGGACCATCAATGAGAGCAGTGTAGTCTCAGGGTGTTGGGAGTACTTATATCACTATCAGCAAGGGGGAAATGCATGTGAAAGGCAAAAAAGACCTGTCTTCTGCTGGGCGCGGTGGATCATGTCTGTGATCTGAATCCTTTGGAAGGCAGAGGCGAAAGCACTGCCTGATCCCACGGGTTTGAGACCAGCCTGGGCAACATGGCAAGACCTCTTCTCTACAATAAATCAAAAAATTAGCTGGGCATGGTGGTGCACAACTGTAGTTACAGCTACTTGGAAGGCTGAAATGTTAGGATCGCCGGAGCCCAGCAGGTCGAGGCTACAGTGGCTGTGAGCATGCCACTGTACTCTAGCCTGGGCGACAGAGTGAGACTACGACTCAAAAAAAAAAAAGACCTGTCCTCTATTAATTGAGGGCTGTCCCTGACACTCACAAAACTGGAAGAAAGAAAACCATCTATGGATGATAAAGAAAACATTCTTTTAGCATTGGGGAATTGTAGACAGTGAGTTCACAAAACCCTTTCCTCGTCAGTATAAAAATCTGACTTCTGGTTAACTTTTTAGCTCTTTCCCCTGGACATCTGATAAAGTTGGGATGTCACCTATGCTCCTTAGTGACATTGCTGATGATAAAAAATGACTGCTGATTGGTAGATTGCTTCTGGATGGAAATTTAAGGGGGTAAGAGTACTATGCAATAAATAGCTGATAGGAATGCCATGATTTATGGCAACTCCTATAACTGGCAACTGACATGTCCCTTGCAGGAACAGTGGAAGGCATGCCTGCGGTGTTGTTACAAGAGATACTCCTGTAGGTCATGGGGCTTCCAAGCCTAATGAAGGTCTTTTTCTCCAGCACCTGAGGCAGGGACAAAGAGAATATCTCCATCCACCAGATGGAAGGGTTTGGTGCTGCTGATATCTGCGTTTTCTGTAGGATACCTTTCTCTTTTTTTTGAGTTGGAGTCTCACTCCGTTGTCCAGACTGGAGTGCAGTGGCTGCTCCCGGCCACCGCAGCCTCGACCTGCTGGGCTACAGCGATCCTTCCAAGTAACTGGAACTACAGGCGCGCGCGACCACACCCAGCTAATTTTTTGATTTATTGTAGAGATGAGGTCTCACCAAGTTGCCCAAGCGGGTCTCGAACCCGCGGGCTCAGGCAGTCCACTCACCTCATCCTCCCAAGGCATGGGATTACAGGCTGAGCCACCGAGCCTGGCTTGTAGGATAACTTTCTAAGTGACTTTGAATGCCGAGTGTGGCCTAAGGCAGTCCTGTGAGTCTGGCTCCCTAATCAAGATTGTAAGAAGATGCTTAGTGGGTGTTGTAGGGACAGAAGTGGCCTCCAAACATCTAAGGGGAAATGACTCTTAGCCTATCCCTGCTATGTGGGCCATGAGGGAAAGCAGGCATGAGAACAGGAGGCAAGGCTTGAGTCTGTCCTGTGGTGGGCACACAGAAAGCCATACAGGTGGGGACAGAGTTGAACTCAGTTTGAAAATTAAGGTGAGAGATCCTTTTGTAGTTCATAAGCATGGGGTTGGGTATTCACAAGTATGTGTGAGATATGCCACCCTTAAACCTTATCATTACCCATCTGGCAATGGAAAAAAAATTAAGGTGAGACACAAACAAGCACAGCTTTTCTGAGACACTTGTGTCCCTCTCCTAGCTCTAGCAGTCATGCAGGTTTGACCCAATGAGCCCGCTAGAAGGTGCACTCACCTTCACTTTGTAGCCTTCAGCGACCAGGAAGCTCGTGCTGTTGATATTTCTGTGGAGTTCAGGCGTTTCTGAATGGTGTAGCCTGATGCAACCAAAGGTGAAAAGTATTTATTTTAGATTAGAAAATATAGTTTATTTAAAAGTAAATTAGAAAGAGAGAGGAGATTCACCTCCTCAAGGTAGGGGAGGGAGCCAAAGCTTAAGAAAACATGGCCTGGGCGTAGCTCAGAGAGCACGTGACCACGTGACCACACCATAGCTTAGCAAGACAATGGCCCAAAGGTGGAAAGTATTAAGGACCTTTGCACAGACTTTCTTGGGGGTGTTTGACAATTTCTTTTTTTTTTGAGTTGGAGTCTCACTCTGTTGCCCAGGCTGGAGTGCAATGGCACACTTATGGCTACTGTAGCCTCGACTTGCTATGCTTAGGAAAGCCTTCCACCTCAGCCTTCCAAGTAGCTGGAACTACAGGGGCATGCCACCATGCTAAGCTAATTGATTGATTGATTGATTGATTGTAGAGATGAGGTTGCACCAACTTGCCCAGGCTGGTCTCAAATCCCTGGGCTCAGGGTATCTTTTTGACTCCGCCTCCCAAAATGCTGGGATTACAAGTGTGAGCCACTGCGCCTGATGGCTATTACTGGGATAATGAGGCTGGTCGGTACCATGCCTTTCTCATAGAAAGCTAACCACAGATAAGAGGGAAAACTGGGATGCAGAGGTGAGATTTGTCTACTGTGTGCTGTGAATGTATGGCAGAGTTAAAATGCATCACGGATGGTGGGTGTGATAATGCTTGTGGAGTGTGTGCAATATGGCACCAGAGGTCACTTCAGGTAAAGAAGGACAAAGGTGCCTCTGTGGTGCTTTGCCTGGAAAGTGCTGGGGAGACCCAAGTACTCGGAGGCATGGCTGGATGGTTGAACCTTGCCTAGGACCCTTCTGTTCAAAACAGAATGTGAGGCTAGGGTTCCCACTGACATAGAGGCAAGCACCTTTGGATTAACGAAGCCCCTGCGTCCTGGGTTAGCTTGTGGTCATGGTGTCTGCTTGAAGTCGGGTACTCCCAGAAGCAGATCATGAGCCAAGGATTTGGGCACAAGAGATTTATCAAGAAGGTGCTCCCAGGGAACCAGTGAGTGAAGGAAGCAGGATAGGGAAGGAGAAGAAATCAAGCAAGAGTGTGATTTCCTATAAAGTCCTAGTATCAGCTTGATCTTAGGGATACCTCTAGAACACAACTGCACCTAGGTTTTATCCCATGTGAGGCAAAGGAGCTGGACTTTTGTACTCACACCAGTTAGTCAATGGCTATGGACCATGTGGAAGAGGGCAGGGATGGGTAGACACAAAACTGATGAGTGCTTTTAGCTTTCTATAAGGGTAAGGGGGCTTTTGTGCCCATGGGTAATTCTCTGAAGACTGCAGTTGTGAACTTTTAGCAGCAAAGCATGAGGGGGCCGTGGGGGGGGGCGGGGGACACAGTTGGTAAAAAAAAAAATCAGAGATCATTTAGATGGGACACTAAAAGCATTTAAAATTACTTCTCACAAAACTCACTAGGTTAGGGAGTTGAAAAGAAATAAACTTTATAAAAGATAGTATTTCAAAAGTACAGGATAAAGTAGTATGCAAGATTATACAGAGGGAAAATTGTTCTCCTTTTAATTTATTCCAATCTGGCCAGGTGCGGTGGCTCATGCCTGTAATCCCAGCACTTTGGGAGGCAGAGGCACGAGGACTGCCTGAGCCCAGGGGTTTGAGACCAGCCTGGGGAACTTGGTAAGACGTTGTCTCTACAATAAATCAATAAAAATTAGCTGGGTGTGGTGGCACACGCCTGTAGTACCAGCTGTTTGGAAGGCTGAGGCAGAAGGACTGCCTGAGCCCAGCAGGTCGAGGTTGTGGTGGCCATGAGCACGCCACTGCACTCCAGCCTGAGTGACAGAGCGAGACTCTGACTCAAAAAAAAAAAAAAAAAAAAAAAAAAAAAATATATATATATATATATATATATATATTCCAATCTTTCTGATTACATGAAGGAAAAAGTGTCAGTTGAGTGTTGGGTGTCATTAACACCTTTTTAAGTCTGCTAGTATCTTCTTTGTACAAAGAGAATGTGGGTCTGAATTAAAGAGCTTCTGGCAGGCAGCCTCATGCAGCCAGAATTTAATAACATTGCTTTGATTTCACTTGTGGTCATCTACTTGTGGCAGGTGATACTGGTTTTCAACTTGTGACAGTGATAAAAGTGTCCTTTTTAAAAACCTCATTTAGATTTTTTTTCTAGCCTGGGTTAAACTTACTTACCCTTCCTGTCTATAATCAGAGTAAATAGTTAAACAGTGTATGGGAGGGAGACTATCTGGGACTTCCAGCCTGTTCTCTCATCATCTCTGAGATTATCAGAAGTGTAGACAGACTCAACCAACCTTTCATGGTGCCCTTTCACCCCTTGGTACCTGTACAAGCCTTGGGCTGCCCCCAGAACGAGGGCGATGCGTTCAGCGAATTCAAGAGACTTTTTCTTATCCAACAGTTCCCTCAAGGTCCCAAATTCACAGTACTCCATGACCATGAAGTATTGAGGTGGAGTCTCTGATGGAAAGGAACCAGACAGTATGATGACCCAGTCCTATTCAGAGCTCCCTCTACCTGCAGCCCACCTCTCCCCCTCTCTGCACAGAGATAGACATGGCTCTGCTCTGAGTCTCATTTCTTCCCCAACTCACCACCCCCCATCCCACACCGTATGCTCCATCCTTGAATGGGACATACACCCCCAGAATTCTTATTCTTTTTTTCATGGTATTTGGCATGTCATAATTCTTTTTTTAATTTTTTTTGAGTTGGAGTCACACTCTTTCGTCCAGGCTGGAGTGTAGTAGCATGCTCAAGGCCACCCCAGCATCCACCCACTGGGCTCAGGCAATCCCTTTGCCTCAGCCTTCCAAGTAGCTGGAACTACAGGTGCATGCTACCACGCCTGGCTAATTTTTAAATTTCATTGTAGAGATGAGGTCTCACTAAGTTTCCCAGGCTGGTCTTGAATCTGTGGGCTCAGGCAGTTCTCTCACCTCAGCCTCCCAAAGTGCTGAGATTATAGGTTTGAGCCACTGTGCCCAGCCAGCACATCATAATTCTACATTTATTTGAGTAGTCATTTGAGTAATATCTTCCTCACTCGATTGTAAGCCCCAAGATTGCAGGATATGTGTCTGTTTTGCTCACACCATGCTCACAAGGAGCTTAGAGCATATGTGTGGAAGAAATAAATAAAGCACAGACAGCAGGCACTGGACTGGTAAGGGAAACTTGGACAAGAAGTCAAGGTCTTGGTTCAAAGGCCTGAGATGCAAAACTAACACACAATGAGTGAGTCAGTCACTTTAGTCATCCCTCCAGAGGATAAACACCACTAAAAGTTTGCCTTTTTAAAAATGTAATTAAAAAAATTTTTTTTGAGTTGCTCACTCTGTTGCTCAGGCTGGAGTGCAGTGACATGCTCACGGCCACTGCAGCCTCAACCTGCTAGGCTCAGGCAATTCTTCTGCCTCAGCCTTCCAAGTAGCTGAAACTATAGGTGAGTGCCACCACACCCAGCTAATTTTTTTATTTATTGTAGAGATGAGGTCTCATCAGGTTGTCCAGACTGGTTTCAAACCCGTGGGCTCAGGCAGTCCTCTTGCCTCCACCTCCCAAAGTGCTGGGATCACAGGCATGAGCCACTGCACCTGGCTTAATAATGTTTTATAGCTACAAAATGCACCCCTCACCCAGCCTGGCATCTGGACACACACTCCTTGGTTCCCAGTGGAGCAAAAGGAGGAGATGTGGTCACACTAGCACAAACCAGCCCTCAGGTTTCAGCCCTGCTCTCCTGAAAGAAGATGAGAATTTGCATCTTAGGATGCAAAAAACATTAACATTGACAATATTCACACTGTAGACTCCACCCTTTCCACTGTTCTTAAAAAATACAACACATTAAAACACAGAAGGTATATTCTAGGCCATTAAAAGCGTGATCAATTCCAAAGCATCCCTTACCTGTTTCATCAATGCAAATCCCAAATATCCGTAGAATGTTGGGAGAATCAAATTTCTTCATGGTCCTGATCTCATTTTTGAAAGTTTCCTTCACTATTCTATAAGGGTAAAGGGGGAGATTAAGATTTCAGAGCTGGTGATCCTCTGGGATTAGGGGATGGGGGCATTATCAGCATCTCCTGGGGGTGAGAACTAGTGCTGGGATGAGATCAAGTACCAATGGCAGTGTGTGGAAACTCTCAGCTGTACATGGCACCAGAATTGGTCCTTAAGGGTCTGTGAGATAGTAATGAGGCTTGCTAATATTTTTTCAGTATTTCAAATAACCTGATAGAATTGTATTTTTATGACTTATGAGGCAAACTAAAATGTCAAGTTTTTGTAATTGTTTTAGGCTATAATGACTTATTTAGCATACACCTTGATAGACTGTGGTATGTGTCCCTGATTGACAAAACTGAGGATATCAGGTATTATTTATTAAGTGAACTCTTATAAACAAAATCCCTTCCAAAATATAGGCCCTCAGAAGTGTGGGTAGGTAAATTATTAAAGAGGTTAACCTGCTCATTCACTCTGAGCACAAGATTCAAAGAGAAAAGGGGGCCTGTCCAAAGTCTGTCAACGAATTGGGGGCAGAGAGACTACAAAAATCAAATATATTTCTATGTGCTAGCAACAAGAAATCTGAAAATTAAATGAAAAAAATCATGTACAATAGTGTAAAGAGAATAAAATATTTAGGAATAAATTTAGAAGTGCAAGTCTTATGCCCTGAAAACATTGTACCTAAAGCATTGCTGAAATAAATGTTAAAAGATCTAAATAAATAGAACGACACTTCATACTCTCGAATATGAAGACTTAATATCATTAAGACGGCTATGTTCTCTAAATTGAGCTATGGATTCAGTGCATTCTTATCCAATTCCTAGTTATCTTTTTGTTTAAACAGAGATTTACAAGATGATCCTAAAATTCATATGGAAATACAAGGAATCCAGGACAGCCAAGACAATTTTGATAATTTTGAGGAACAAAGTTGGGAAACTCATACTTCCCAATTTCAAAACTTTTTACAAGGCTACAGTAATGAATACAGTATAGTACTAGCATAAGGACAGACATGCAGATCAATGGAATAGAATTGAGAGTCCAGAAATAAACTCATACATCTAAGGCCAATTGATTTTGACAAGGGTGCCAAGACCATTTAGTGGGAAAAGAATAGTCTTTTCAACAAATAGGTTCTGAGACAATTGAATATCCACATGCAGAAGAATGAAGCTGAATGACTGCCTCACATGATATGCCAAAATTATGTAAGAGCCAAAATTACAAAACTCTTAGAAGAAAACACAAACAAGTCTTTGTCACCTTGGGTTAGGTAATTTCTTAGATATGATATGAAAAGCACAAGCTATAGAAAAGAAGATTGGTAAGAAGAACTTCATTAAAATTAAAATTTTTGTGCCTCAAAGTATACTATCAAAAAAGCAAAAAGACAATCCACACTGAAATAAATATCTGTAAATGATATATCTGATAACAGACTTGTATCCAGAACAAATAAAGAACACTTACAAGTCAATAACAAAAAGACAACTAACTCAGTTTTTTAAATGAGCAAAATTAAAAAAAAAAAAAAAAGAACAAAAGTTCTGAATAGACATTTCTCTAAAGAATTGCCAACAAGCACATCAGGCATTAGGGACATGCAAATCAAAACCATAATGTGATACCACTTCATACCCAGTAGAATGATTATAATAAAAAAGTCAGATGACAACAAGTGTTGGTAACTTGAATTCTTATATTCAACTGGAATTCTTATATTTTGCTGGTAGAAGAGAAAAATAGTACAATCCCTGTGGAAAACAGTTTGATACCGCCTTAAAAAATGCAATATAAAGTAATCATATAGCTCTAGGTATTTACTCAAGACAAACAGGAATATAATATATGCCTACACAACATTTGTACATGAATATTCACAGAAGCATTATTTATAATTACCAAAAAGTGAAAACAACACAATGTCCATCAACTAATGTACAGACAAGATGTTCATACAATAAACAATTATTCAGCCATAAAAAGGAATGAAGTACTGTTACATGCTACAACCTAGATGAACCTTGAAAACATCATGCTAACTGAAAGAAGCTAGATACAACAGTCCATATGTTGTATTATTCCATTTATATTAAATATCCAGAACAGGCAAATCTATAGACACAGAAAGTAGTAGTTGCCTAGGGCTGGAGATGGCAGGGATGAGGGTGAATGGGGAATGACTGCTAATGGATAAGGGGTTTCCTTTGGGGATGATAAAAATGTTCTAAAATTAGATTATGGGGATAGTTGTACACTCTGTAAACAGATTGAAAGCCATTAAATTATATGCTTTAAATGGGTGAATCTTACAGTATGTAAAATATATCTCAATAAAGCTGTTAAAAATACTATCTCAATCAAAATATATATTTTTTAATTTTAAAAAATAAGAATGGGCTGTCCTATGCTGCTTAGGCTGGAGTGCAGTGGTGCGATCATTGCAGCCTTGAACTCCTGGGCTCAAGCAATCCTCCTGCCGCAGCTTCCTAAGTAGCTGGGACTACAGGCATGCGCCATCACACCTGGCTCAATCAGAATCTTAATGTGTATTTTGAGGAATGTGATACAACTTTCTGACATATATTTAGCTAAGTCAATCTGAAAAAGAAGAATCAAGAGCAGGGAGCTGCTTTACTAGATATTTAGACATACTACAAAGTCATAGTAAAAAAAAATTACAGTGTGTTACTGGTGCAAAGATAGACAAATTGACCAGCGGAACTGACTAGAGAGATCAGAGTCAAGTCCATGTCTATAAATACTTCATATAAAATAAATGTAGTACCATGAATAAATGGGGAAAAGTAGACCATTTAACAGATGATGACAAGAAAAGTTACTCGCTCTGTGGATAAAAATAAAACTAGACACTTCATATCACATGCAAAGGTGGAGTCCAGGAAGAGTAAAGCCTAAATGTGAAAAATAAAATAATAAAACTGTACAGTTAAGAGAAGAAAACAAAGAACATCTTTAAGATCCGGGGGTGGAGAAGGGCACTTCAAAAGCACAAATAATAAGGCAGAATTTTGGTGGATTTAGTTACATCAATATTAAAGATGCCTGTTTGATGATGGACACCATAGACAAAGTTTGCAGTATCTAAAGCTGACAAGTAATTAATTTCTACAGTTTACAAAGATCTACAAACTGACAAGACAAAAACAGCAACCAGACAGAAAAAAGAGTAGAGGATGTAAACAGGCAATTTATAGAAGGAAAAATCCAAATAGCCAAAACACGTTCACATAAACAGAGAAATGCAAATTAAATAACGATAAAGTAAAATTTTACATTTTTATTTTACACTTTTAGGCTTTAATCCTCCTGGATTAAATGATAGCATCATTTTTGGTGTGGGAAAGTTAAAAACAGACTGGGTTCCATTACTTGAAAAAATAGGCAAAATATGGATCTACACCATGAAGAGCAGGCAGAACATCTCTGGGCACAGAACATGTTCCATGATGCTGAGTGAAAAATGTAAGGAACAGAGGCAACAGACAGATAACACTTCCAGTCATTACAAACAAAAACGCATGCACACATTCTACAAGAACACATACAAACAAAACATGCTAGAATTATTGTCTGTGGAAGGGAGGGGGAACTGAGAAACAGGATTGAAAGGGAACACATAAATATGTGAATACAGGAGAGAAGTTTCTAGAATTGAGGTGGGAAGATATGTTTAAGTGTAGACTGCTCCTTCTCAGTAGAGGGCAAGTTATTTAACCCTTGAGGGCTCAGATTTCCCTGTCTAAAGATGGAGACAATATGCCTCTATCTTTGGGAAGTTATACAGAGTAAGTATTGATGCATATGAGAGAACCATACAAAACAAAACAACTTACTCACTGCTGCTGTCCTTGGAGGTCTTGAATTCTTTTATGGCCACTAGAGATTTGTGATATTCTGCTTTATAAAGTGTGCTAAATTCATTTTTCCTCAGCATGGTCCAGGAAGATCCTAAAAGGTGCTCCTTCTTAATCTCCTTGATTTGATATTGTGGGATTTTCTGCACAGGTTTTTGTGCTATGTCTGACTTCAGCACTAAAACAGAAGATAAAGAATTATTGAAGCCGGGCTCGGTGGCTCAGCCTGTAATCCTGCGTCTTTGGGAGGCTGAGGTGAATGGATTGCCTGAGCCCGTGGGTGCGAGACCTGCCTGGGCAACTTGGCGAGCCCTCATCTCTACAACAAATCAAAAATCAGCCGGGCGTGGTAGCGCGCGCCTGTAGTTCCAGCTACTTGGAAGGCTGAGGCGGAAGGATCGCTGGAGCCCTGCAGGTGGAGGCTGG